GACCACTTAACGGGTGGTCATGACATTTGAGATTCTCCAAGTGGATGGATCTGTTCCCACTCTTACTTTCAAGACTTTATGCCCGAAGTTGTCCTGAAAGTTGATACTGAAAGATGGGAGGATATTGCTTTTTTTAGGTGGAGAGTTATTTTTAATTTTTCCAAGGCCATTTCTTTCCTGTAGGACCACAGAGGAGCAAGGTGTGTCTGCAGGAGTTCTCTCAGCTGCACTCTGATGTAAACCGGGTGCTTTGTGGGGTTTTGCCCACCAGCCCCATGAGCCTGTGTAAACAGACCACCTGCCAGCATAGCTATCAGTGACTGTCCCTGGTGTCTTGTTAAAGCTGCTGGCTGACTTCTCTAGGGAGACATGACTTGATGTCTTTCCTCTCTGGGATGACAGGTGATACCCCAGCTTTTCCTCTAGGAAATACTTTTGTGTATTGGGCTGAAAATCAGGACTGCCATTAAGCTCCTGACTTAATCCCAGGGTCCAGATGTATGTTCATGGTGCACCTGCCCCCTCTTCTTCCAGCTGCTCTTTGATCCCAGAATATTCTATCCCTTTGACCCCAGAATATCCCTCACTGGCCAATAAGTATCTGGGTTTTCTTCCACCCCACAATGTCTCACTCATTTCTTTCGGGTTGGAGAAACCCAAATCACACTTGCTTATTGCCCTCTTTCATTCCAGTGTCTTATTACTCCCCTCCTGTGATTCTCCAGGGCCTTGTGTCTGCTGTGGAGGGAGAAAGCCCCTGGGCCATGTTTCAAAAGACACATCAGGAAATTCTGAACATGTTTTGAAATTCCCACTAATTCTATGGGATTACCGAGGTTTATAAAGTGCATTCCACATAGTTCCCTTGATATCCTCACATGCTTCTGAAATGTCAAAGGGACAAGATTTCTCTTTATCCACATACTAAATGTGTACGAACCCTCTAGGGGCAAGGAATTAAAATGTTCAATATGGTTTCCCTTTGAAAACCCCTGAGGACCGTCTGACGATTAGTGCAGGTTACTTGGCATTAGGAGACAAATACAATTGTAATTTCTTTTTCCTGTTGTTTTTAAAAGTTTTGTTATAAAACAATAGGTCTTCTTCATCAGCTCTGAATTTATGCCAGGCATTGAGCACTTTCTGTGGCTTTCATTCTACCCTCAGACAACCTGAAAGGCCTAACTGCTCTTATCCACTCTCCAGATGAGATGAGAGCCTGGAAGGGAGATCTGGGTTTTTTTTTTTTAAGGATTGGTGACTGTTTTTGTTGAGGAGAAACTCCTCCAAGAGAAATGGAATTCTGGAGTCAGTTTGATAAAATAATCTCTTATGTTTACTTTATGAAGTTCGTGCTCAGCTGGCCAGACCCCAGAGTTCACTGATTGTGACACCAATTTTTTTTTTAACAACAGGAAATGCATGATCCTTTTATTTGTTTTATATATCTATAAAAAATATATAAATATATATAAAATATATATAATATATATAAAATATAAAACAAATAAATATAAATAAACTTTTATATATATAAACAAATATATGTTTATCGCAAATATATATATATTTATCACAAATATATATGTTTATCACAAATATATATATATATTTGCGATAAACATATATATTTATTTTCTTACATGTTTGTTCATTTTTGGACCATATTTGGCTTCTCTCAGGTATGGTCCCTATAGTTATCCCACCACCATTGCACCCAGGATCCATCACCACGGTCCCTTATGCTCCTCTGTGGCACCAGTTTTAAGGCTGACATCTATTACCTGTGGTCCCTGCCAAATAATTCAGAGAGACAATGATTTGAGATCTTTGTCATCTTGTGAAACCAGTTGACGACAAGGAGACAAACATTTGGATGTTTCCTTGAAAGTAGACGGTATTAGAGTTGATTCTAGGGCCCCAAGTTTTAGCCACAAACACCTTCAGTTGGATTCTCTCTTCATCATAACGTCCCATCTCCTGGAGCTTCTGCATCATTCAGTGTACCTCGTCTGTAACAGGAAGCTCTGTGTCCCCAGAAGATTAAGGGAGAATATAATAGGTCCATGTTTGAAGTATTTAAACTTGAGTATTGGACTTGCTTCTTGTAGAGGAAGAACATGCTTGGTTGCCCTTCATGTTGCCTTCAGTTATTTTATTTAACTTTTCCTTAATATTTACCCTTGCCAAATTAAACTGCTTTTATTTATCGCTCAATGCAAGAGAGACTAGATGGCTCTGCAAGTTACATGGAACCAAGTTACATAAAACCAAGTTAAATATAACAAGACTGAATCCCCCCTCTCTGAAACGTTCAAATTAACAACTTGGAATTCCACTGGCCCCGTTTTGCGAGGCTGCACATGGTCCTAGAGTAATTCCCACTGTGGGTCAACCCTCTCTCCACTTCTCACTCCTCTTGTGGCTTTCACACTTGAGTGGCATCTGAAGCACCTGGAAGGCTTGTAAGGACACAGAAGACTGGGCCCACCCCCAGAGTGCCAAGCTCAGTAGGTCTGTCTGTACTGGGGCCAAAGAATTTGCATTGCTGACAAGTTCCCTGGTGCCGCTGCTTCTGGGTGAGGGCCACGCTTTGGAACAGCTTCTTACTCTTCTCGTCAGGAGGTTTCTCTTCCACAGATACAGGCCCAGAGGCATCAAGGACAGATGAAGCCCACTGCTGCCCCTTTCTCACTAGCTTAGGACCTTCATAGAAGTGACCTGTGTTGGCAAGTGCTGCCAACCCTGAAATTGAGTGTGGACCATGGAGAGGCACTTGGCTATCTGGTGGGCAGCCCACGTCCCTGGTTAGGCTTTGTGAAATATTTTTGTGAATCACCAAAAGAAAATTAAACTTAGAACTGCTCATCCCCTGAGAATGCGTACAGGTACCTTGGTTTGAGAAACATTGTTTGACTTGAGTATTATAAAAACTAACCTGTGGGAAAATAGTATGTAAGTCCTGGGCTATTCAGCTAAAGGTGTGAATGTTAAACTAAGTTTAAGGCACCCAGACGGATGTGAGACGGTTTTGTTCGATAACCAGCAGGCACAAGATGTAGGGAAGATACTGGGAAGGATTCCTGAATGGAACGAGCTGCCCTAGGGAGATTGGAAACAGCTTGTCTGAGAGACTGGTTGAGTCTCCAATAGCGACTTTGTTGGTGGAGTTTCCATCCATAAAACCCGGGGGTCTAAGGCCCTCTCTCGTCAGTCTCCAAGAATCTTTCCAAAAAGGGGGTTAGCATTGCTAAACACATCTAAAACGCAGTGCATGGTAGTTTCTCAGACCTGCCACCACCCCAAATGCTTCTCCCCTCCACCCAGAACTCACTCTTCTCCCAGCTTCCTCAGTTCTGTCACTATGACCACTGTTTGTCTGGCTTTCGTGTAATTTGACCCATTCCCTTGGCCCATCCCCTTCAGATGTCCATATTTCTTCTTTGCTTTTCTCTTCCCATTGCACACATCGCTCATGTTCATTGTTCAGTAGCTGGTGCTGGGTTTACTCCCTTCATCCCCTACTCCCCACACCTGCCCCTTCCATCCACTTACCGCTGGGTCACCTTGCCCAAATCCTTGAATCACCCATCTTTTCTCGTCCTAGGAAACACGTTTCACAAACACAGGGAAACTCTGCTCTCGATGGCTCTGTAGGTACCTTGTTCATTCTTGTCTCCTTTTCTTGGTCCATGGAGGTCGTCTTCCCTAGCCTCTTGTCCACCAGCCAAAGACACATCCTCTACACTGTAGTCCTGTTTATCTCCTCTGTGGTCATAAAGCAGCACAGCCCAGCATTTCAACACCCCTTGAAAGGAAGGAGCTTATTGATTTGTTTGTTGGCTGTCTGTCCCCAATGATGTATCCAAGATGGTGGGTGGTCTGGTTCACCCTCCCCAGCACCTGCACCATGGCCTGGGGCAAAGAGTCTCTCTCAGTCAGCTGTGAGTGACAGAGCAGGAACCAGGTCTTAGCAAATGTCTGCAATTTGAGAATGATTTCTAGCTGGAGCCCGTGGGCTCCGTACCTGTGGTGATCTGTAGCACTTTAATTCAGAGGCGCCTCAATGGAGCAGGGCCCCAAGGGTCTTAATTTCAATCAGTCTCATTGGATTTGTTTTGACTGGAAATCCTATTGCCTGTTTTTAAAACATATTCCCTCAGGTGCTTTTGAGCACTTGAGACCTCTTGGCAGGCAGGCATTTCATCCCCATCAGCGAATCTCATCAAAATGATATTAGGTTTGCACATCAGGAAAATAAAACTCCTCCAGGAGGACACTGCTGTTCTCCAGACTGGCTTTGGGTAAAAGCACTTAAGCCCATTCAGAAGGTATTTGGACCGCATCTGAGATGTTGGGTCAGGGCTGAGTGGCAGACTCGCACAATAATAAAAAATAAACATATAAAAAATAAGAGTGGGAAAGAAACCTCTCCCTCATCCTTGTCCCCCCAGGAATTTCTCTAGTTTCAGGCCAAAACAATTCAGGGAAAGCAAAACACCAGTTTTGAGTATGAGACTTTATTTCAAAGGACTGAGCAGGGACCAAGCTGGGACATGTCCTCCTATGCAGGCTCCTGCCCTGTATTTTTTTGGTTTGGCCTCCTCCGGGCTCCACCTTGGAAACCCTACTTAGAAAACCACATAATGGCAGAACTACTTTGATTCAAATTTCCTAACATCCCCCAGGTATTTTTCACATCATTTAGTCAGGACTTCCTTCCAGAAGGAAGAGCCATGATTTCCCTTCATTAGCAGGGAGTTCTGGAAACTCTTGAAACTCCTCTTACCACCATTGTCCATTGTTCAAGTATTCACAAATGTACTTTTATCCAGGCTTTCACTTTGGCTGCTTTGATGAGATGCTGAGGGTTCTAAAAAGATGATGGCGAAGGAGTGTTGAGGTTGGCATGAAAGTAGCAGAACTGAAGCTTGGCCAAGCCCTTCCCCTCTTTGTCATAATGAGGAGGAGCTGTCTCATGCTTTGCTGTCTCTCTTCAGAGGTGTGAACATGTATGCCATGTTGACTGGGACCCTGCCTTTCACGGTGGAGCCTTTTAGCCTGAGGGCTTTGTACCAGAAAATGGTGGACAAGGAAATGAACCCACTCCCCACTCAGCTCTCCACAGGTAAGGCACCTGCCACTCTGAATTTGGAATTTCAAGATTTGCACTCTAACCACTTTGGGTCCATATATGGGGTTGCTTTTGTTTTACAATGTGTTAGGGCTACCCCATGGTTGTAGATCTCTTCCTAGTGTCAAAACTAAGATGATATGGTCTACACAATGGAATACTACACAGCTATACAAAATGATGAACTTTTGCCATTTGCAACAATATAGATGGAGCTTGAGGGCATTATGCTTGGTGAAACAGACAGAATTCAAGAAATTTCACTCGTGGAAAATAAAGAAACCAAAAAATTGAACAAAAGAAGCAAAAAGAAACACTTTGATTATACAGATAGAATGGGGGTTACCAGAGGGGTTTGGAAAGGGGATGGGTAAATTGGGTAAAGTGGGGGGCAGTTATGTGGTGTTGGATGGAAACTGACTTTTGGTGGTGCTCATAATGTAATATGTAATATGTTTTTTCATTATAATGCTTACATCTGAAACCTACAGAATGTTTTAAACCCATGTTACTTTGATAAAAAATTAAAACAAAAAGAAAGTACGTCTCAAGAGGTTTCACCTCCCATCTCTAAGCAGGCACTTCTTTCATGCCTCCTTGATTTTTCCTTTTTCATTTCAATTCTGAACCCTGACTTCCTCCATCCTCCTCTGTGCTATGTATTATACATTTATCAAAAGGGTTTTATGTTTCCAATTGAAAAATAATTGCAGACTTGGTTGTTTTAAAACTCACATATTGTAATGCTGACTTTGGAAAGCGTGTTTACAGTCGTGTTTCTATTGTGGCTCCCTTAGTCTGTTCATTGTCAAGAAATTCCAGTTTCATTCAAGTTTGGACTGTGTTGTGATTTGTTTTTTGAGTTTTTGAGCTTATTTGAAAGCTTTTATATATAGATACAGGTTTAATTACTTGATTAGACTGAATCATCAGGTGTATTTGGAAAGTGCTCTCAAACTAAAGCTAGTTCACATTTCCATAAGGAGTTTGTATTAAGATTTAGTTTCAGATCCAGTCAATTCGTGCAGTTTCTTTTGTTTGGTTCACAATTCACTTTAAGTTCTTGGCCACAGCTTGGCCTTGCAGATCATGAAACTGGCTCCAGAAAATAAACTAAACTTCATTAAGATAAGGCATGTGACCAGAAAAATAATTATTGAATTTCAACATCTGATACATGGTTAAAATATAACATTTTTCTTTTAGTACTGTTATGTATTTTTCTCTTGAGTTTCTCAAGCATCCATAAAGCTGACTCTGAATTTATGTTTGCCAAATGGAATCCAAACCTAAATGCATTCTTGTCTACAATTACCTAATTCGGTCCATACTTTCACCTTTGCGAGGGAGGTTACAATCTCGGGAGGCTGAAAGCAAAGGAGGCATTATGTACTTGGGAAGATAAGTTACAGTTCTGTCATCATAAAAGAAATATTTCTGCACTGAGAGCACTAACTCTTGGAGTTAGAAAATGTGCAAAATGTCAAATGAATTGCTATATTTGGATTTTAGAGCTATGTTTGGGTTTCAGAAGTGTTGTAAGGGCTGCAAAGCCCTATGAGGAGTGTTCGTTCATTCATTCACTCCATATTCCTTACTCATTCACTTATTCCATGAGTTTGGATTGTGCCCCAATCATAGACTGGGTGCCAGGAAGACAGATGACAAAACAGTCAGTGTCCATCCAGCTGACACAGCAGCTGGGGAAACAGAAAAAAAAGAGATAAACATGTGATGTTAGGTAGTGTAAGTAAGTACTCTAAAGAAAATAAAACAAGTTAAGGGACTAGAGAGTAAAGGTAGCTTTTCTTTTAAGCAAATAATATTTTTAAAACCTTTTTTATTGTGGCTTAACTGTAGATTTAAATGCAGTTGCAAGAAATGACCCAGGAGAGCTACCCTTTATCCTGTGTCCCCACTAATGATGCCTTGCTTAGATGTAATAGAATACTACCCCCAGGAAATTGACATTGATAAAATTCATTGGCCTATTCACATTTGCATGTAGTCATGTGTGTGTTTGTGTGTATTTAGTTCTGCGTAATTAATCACACGTGGAAACCACACAGTCGCGATGCAGATCAGTTCCATTACAAGGATTCCTCATCCTACCTTCTACAGCCAAAGCCACCCCGCTGCCTCCTACCCTCCCTAACTCTCAAAACCTCAAATGTTTTCTCTTTCTCCATAATTTCAAAAATTATATGTACATACAAGTATACAAATATGATTATAAAATTATATATGTTTTTAACATTTTTCACTGAGTATAATTCCCTTGAGATCTATCCAAGTTGCTGCATGATCCGTCTTGTGGGTTTTTTTTTTCTTGCTGAATAGTATTCCATGACGTGGCTAGACGGTAATTATTTTATCCATTTACCCACTGGAGGGCATTGGGTGGTTTCCATCTTTGGGTTAATATTCGTGTACAAGTTTGTGTGAGCAAATTTTCATTCCTCTGGGACAAGTGCCTCTGAGTGGAATTGCTGGGTCATGAAGTAGCACATATTTTGTTTTGTAAGACTCTCCCACATTCTTGGTCAGAGTGGTGTGCTGTCCTGCATTCCTCTCCCACGAGTGATCGGGTTCCTCTGCATCCTTGCTGGCCTTTGTTGCTACCAACATTTTTTATTTTAGTCATTCTGATAGGGATCTAATGACATCTCATTGTGGTAACAAAATTTAATGTTTACAGATAAATGCAATCTTTCAGAGCAGTCTCTTTAAGGGTCATAAAATAATGGAGTTCCTCTCATGGTTCATGACCAAACAGAACAAATGATAATAAGAGGATATTTGTGCCCACATGTCTAGAAAAGGCAGGTGGTGCTCACTTAGAATCCCCATGAGACTTGATCTTGCAGAACAGCTACTTATTGTATAAGTAATAAACATCCCCCAAATTTCAGTGGCTTCAGACAATTGATTTTTTAAAAATTTTTATTTATACAAGCACTGGGTATAGTCAGAAGTACGGGAGGGTGAGAGAATTCACCAGAGCCAGAGCAGGGAGCAGAACAGGCAGACGGACGAAGTACACTCTGAGGGGAGCAGCAGGCGTGGCAGGAGAGGTCTCCATGCCATGTGGGACCCTCGCCGGTGGCCGGGGATCGAACTGGCGCTGCAGAGGCTGCGGGCAGCTTCGCAGCCCAGTGCTCAACCGCTGAGCCACCAGGGGAGGCCCTCTTTGCCCTTTTTGTACCCCACCCAGTTTACTCTTGTCCTTTCCAACCAGCCTGGGCCACCTTCATTCCTGAGACCATGTGTGTATGTCCCCAAATACCAGCTTACCAGTACCAAGGGTGTGGCCACTTGTTGAGTGGTCATGTGTGGGTGCTTTCCTATTGTCTCCTGTTCTCATCACAGCCCTGCAAGGGAAGTGCTATTACCCCAATGCTCAGTGGGGAAATTAAGTCTCAGTGAGATGAAGTAGCATTGCTGTTTTTGAATTTATGGCAGCTTGATCCCAGATCTGATTTTCCTATAACTCTGTGCTGTTTTCTCCCTTTCTCAAGCATAAGATGCCCATGCAGAACCATCCCAGCCCCAATTTGGGGATATTATGTTTTGAGTAATGTTCAAATAAAAAAATCCCAATTTTAATACTTGCTTCACAACCCATTATTATTAACTTGATGATTCCATCACTGATACTTTTAATGACTCTCCACATTGGTTCTATCACAGTTAGGTTTTTTTTTTAAGGTGAAGTTTGAAGCATTTTTGCCCAATCTGAGTTGAAAATCACCGTTGCCCTCGTGAACCCACAGTGCGTGCTTTTAAAGAATTGTGCCTCATCTCTGTCACAGAGTCTGAAAACTTGAGCTCTTTGGACCTTTCCAATTCTGTTCACTGTTCCTCCTCCTGCTTGTTGGCACTGGTCTATCACAAACTATGAATGCCTTTCATGCCAGTCGTATTTTTTAGACAATTCACCTTTTCATACTACACCTCATTGAAGCATTTAGAGTATGTTCCTCAGTCTTCAGATCAAGAGGTTTTGCACCAAAGTGAAACCTCAGGGAGGTGTTACGTCTGTGAGGGCTGGCTTTAGTGCTGATTAAGATTTCCCAGAAGGTTCTGCTTTCATTTCATTGTTGCTGCTTTCACCTGGGAGGTGATGAAGTAGCACCTTGGGCAGGTATGGGACTCTGCTTGCACCCCTGACCGTCCCCTCCCCAGGCACAGTGTCAAGGTGTTCCCAGAGGCCAGTCTAGACTCCAGAAAGCCGAAGTCTCACAGTAGAAAGTGGTTGTTTCCTGGGAGGATCTCAAGACCCCTGTGATGTGGAGCACAGAGAAGGAGCACCCCCTGTGTGTCTTCCCTGCCCTGGGCCTGAGCAGAGGGTCCCAAGTGGTGACTTAGAAGGCCATGCCCATCACGACTTCCCAGGACACTGGGGAATATCTTAATCCCTTTTGCTTATGAGATACAGGGATTTTCAGGCCCCTGTCACAAACTTCAAAGAGCTCTAAGGAGGTTTTCAGAGTCCCTTGGGTAGTAATGCAGTGTTTGTAATCACCAAAGAAACACATCCATCAGTAGAGATCTGAACTAAAATGACTGTGTTCAAGAGCAGTTTGCAAAGAGGCAGCGCTTTGGTTCTGAAAATAGAACAGAAACACTCATCCAGTTTGATCTCACTCCTCCGGCTCATCATGGGCTGCCTGGTGGCTGCTGCCTGGGGCTTGTTTGGGGCTGGAGGGGAAGCTACAGAAGTCTCAGAAACTTCATGAACTCACCCGCTCCCGCCCCATTTCCATTCAGCAGCTGCACATCTTTTTCCTTTGAGCCACGGGAGTCCTTGATGCAGCATCCCGATGGAGCTTGCTGTGTTGGGGAGTCCAGAGAAGGGTAACAGCTTCCCAAAAGAGGATCCTTTTTGGGGAGATGCTTGCTTTACAGACCACTGAAAAGCATTTTAGGGAAGTTTTATTTGGAGAGCCAGCTATAAAAACCTAAAAATAAAAGGTATTAAGTCTGTCTCGTGACTGCTTTGGTACCTCCACCTCTATTTTTATTCGTTATGTTTCCAAAGGGAAACCACTTCTGCCAACCTCATCAGCTCCAGGGGACCCACCTGGAGGCGTCCTCCGAGGCAGGACTAGTGACAGGGATGTTTAGGTTGATTCCTGCCTCCCCGTGGCCTTGGGACTCTGGGTGTCACGTGGCGAGTGCCAGATTACAGGGTCTAGCTTTATGTTCTTATTTTTATACAATACCCATATAATTTATTGGGAAAGTGAATGCATTTCTACCTGTAAATGGAAAGAAGACTGAAAGGTTTGTGCTTTTTTTTTTATATCTCACTAATAAAAAAAAAATAGTCCTATCTCCAGTTAACCCATTTTAACCTTAGGGAAAGAAAGTTCATAATTTATACACACACACACACACACAGAATTTCTATTAAAAATAGAAGTACATTCTAGGAACACATTAAGAGAAATGGCTTACAAGCAAGCAGAGTTTAGTAATAAAAGAAAAGCTATGTCTCAGTAAAATCTGCCCACACGCTCTTTCATATCATTCAATATGTATTCGTTTATTAGTTTTTATTTATTTTATTTCATTTTTATTTATGTATTATTTTTCGCTGCAGTAAGGTGCGTGACTCCAGGCCAGGCTCACACCCCGGCGGTGCGGGCTGCCCGTGGAAGGTGTGACTTGAGGGCGACTTTGCCTCAGTCACACTCAGACCTACCTAGAAAACAAGAGTCTTCTCTCTCCTTTCTCCCATCTCTTCACACCTGCCTGCGACGCATCTGGGCTCACCTGCAGCAGTGGTGCGGGAAGGCCCCTGGCTGCGGCCAGGAGTGGGGTGCGGGGCCGCGTCGGGGCTCGTGGGGCGCGTTCTGCCAGACATGTGATCCTGACCGTGTCTTCACAGGGGCCATCAACTTCCTGCGCTCGCTCCTGGAGCCAGACCCGGTGAAGAGGCCCAATATCCAGCAGGCGCTGGCAAATCGCTGGCTTAATGAGAATTACACCGGCAGGGTGCCGTGCAACATCACCTACCCCAACAGGTACCCGCGGGCCCCAGGGCCCCCTTCTCCAGCAGGGTGGGGCCTCCTCCCAGCCAGGCAGCTGGGCAGGATGCCAGGGAAAGCCAGCACCTGCCCGGTGCACCCGCGCCCACCACCGAGCCTAGTACTGTGCACCAGGGTGGTATAGGCAGGGCCCCGGGGCGGTGCGGGCAAAGGGCCAAGGGCATGGCTCCGAGAGCTGCATCTCCCAGAGCAGCATAGCTGAGACCTGATGGTGCGTGTGTATGTGTGTGTGTAAGTCTGTGTGTCTGAGAGTATGTGTGTTTCTGTATGTGCGTGTGTGTGTGTGTATTTGTGTCTGTGTGGGTGCTTGTCTGTATGCCATGTGAGATCATGAGTTTGTGTGTCTGTGCATGTGTTGTATGTGTGTGTGTCTATGTGTATGTTGTAGGTGTGCCTGTGTGAGAGTGTGTGTTGCGTGTGTGATTCCTCACGCGCTCTCCTAGCATCTGGATCTGTTGGACTTGACCCTCTTTTCTTTCAGACCATCCCCTGGGGTCCTCTTCTGCTGCTTTTTAGCTCTGAGGTTTATGCCACCCTAAGTCCCCTGCCTTAAAATGTTAGAGGCGGGAAGAAGAGGTAATAGCAGGCATCACTGGCTCCAGGTGGCATTTCCCGGCGGACTTCCCATGAGGCTTACCCTCAGCAGTTCCCCAAGAGGGGCTTTTAGGGGAGGGTCCAGGCAGGAGTCCACAGCCTGGAAACTCAGGGACACCTGGTGGTGGCCTACGCCTCCGTGCCAATACTCATGGCAGAGTTGAAAGCAAGTACAAGGAGACATTTCCTACTTGTTTAACATACTGCAAACTAACCTGAGGGAGGGAATGTGTGTTCTCACTGTGGTTACTTTGGCATGAACATGGGGACCACATGAGTCTAGTAGCTACAAGCCTTGGCCCCATGGTGAGTCCGTCTTTCCTGCCCACTTGACCAAGCTTGCACCAGGCAAGAGAACCACTGCTGAAGGGGGTCCGATGGGGGCTGACAAGGCAGGAAAGAGGTGTCCTCTGTGATCGTATTTCCTTTTTGTCCCCTACCGCCATCCCTTTGTCCCTCTCCTTCTTAACCTTAGAAACCTCACTTCATTTATTAATATTTGTAAATATTTACTTGTTGAATTGTCCAGTATGTAAATGTTCAGTATTTGTTTTTGTCATTTTGATTTGCTTGACTGCACATCATTCCCTTCAACTTCCTTCCATTTTGCTGTAGATGGCAACAGTTTGCCCTTCTTGATGGCTGAATAGTATTCCACGGTGTGGCTAGACCACATCTTCTGGATCCAATCTTCTATTCCTGGGGTCTTAGGTAGTTTCCATGTCCTAGCTACTGTAAATAAGACTGCAGTAAACACTGTAGAGCATATAATTTTTTTTTAAAGTTAGTTTCATGTTTGGGTAGATAATTCCAGAAGTGGAATTGTTGGATCACCTGGTATTTCTGTGTGATCATATTTTCAAGGTACCCAGGAAAGTCTGGAAGCATCCACCACAACTTGGCAACAGTGCCAAGTTCTCCAAATGAGATGGGCAGGCCAGGCTCTGTCTTGGGGAGAAAGTTCTAGAAGAACTTAAGGGGTGATGGGTGGATATTCCTGGAATCTGTGCCCATGCTACAGGGCTAAATTACCCTTGCTCACCACAGCCATGGATGAGGTGGTTTCACTCAGTCGCCATATAGGATTCTAGCGTTTGACATGGGAGGTAATTTAAACAAAGCTTAGGTTACTCATGTTACCAAGGGAACCTGGAAAGAGACTGCTCTTTTCCATCACCAGCTTGATTTGGGCCAGGATCTGAAACAGACACCAGAAACGTTACCCCCACATGAGACAGAACGAGCAGAGCTGAGGGGCCATGACTCATTACCGGTGCTCATGCCGGACAGAGCACATAGGTATGCTTCCCAAGGCAGGGGAGTCAGCGAGATACACACTCACTTGCTAATGAGCACAGTTAGTCCCCACACGCGGCAGCTGCTGAAAGCAGTGGAGCTGGTGTTAGAAACAAGTCCCCCTCCTTGTTGCTCACAGCTTCATTCACAGAGAGTTGGGCCTTGGCGCCTCATCTTGTAGCTTTCCCCAGGTTACGGACAGGCTTTTGTAGATTAAAACCTAAATTCAGGTTGGTTTTGCCAGATGAGTGATGCCTTTGGAGTTGGTCAGTAGCCGCAAGGCTGCACTTGAACTCGTTAGGTAGGTTGTGAAATGGTTACAATTTTGTATATTAAAGAAAATAGCAGCGCAGTGTCTTCTGTTGGTGTCAGTCCCGTTATTCAACTAGTGCTAGAAGCAAATCAATGTTCAGTTTGCAAGTAATGAAGCCAGAAATCTGAACCATTGGGGGAGACACTGGTATTTATAGTCTTTATTTCGAAAAATATTTAAGACCAAAAATGTGCTTTTGATAATTATTTTTCTGGTTTTACCAGCACATAGATAAAAGCACACACGTGGCTAGGGAAAGTGATATTTTCTTTTTAAAGTATATTTTATAAATTCCAAGTCCCAGATTTAATTATTTTAGATGTTGTCAATGTTCTACTTTTGGGAAAAAGAGAAAATAAAAGTCTGTGTTTTACATCACTTTTCTGTAAAGTCTTCTGTTAAGTTACTTAATCTCTTCCAAAAGGCAAGAGCAAAAATGTCTTTAAAAATAAACTTTTATAGTAAGTGTTCATGCTGGTCAGTCAACAGATGTTTGCTGTGATCAGAGCTGGCTTCCCTCCTCTGGATGCAGACATTTTTACAAACCAGGCCTTGGCTGCTTTTCCTCTCTCCTCCAGTCCCACCTAACCCTAACCCTAACCCTTCCACACCCACACCTGAGCCTTCTCTCTTACAGACTTGCTCCCTGCAGTGGGCAGGGCTGTTGCCGTGTGCCCACCTATTGATTGGATATGGGTGTTGTTACGTGATTGTGACCAGACGGGCCAGGAGTGAGGTTATGAGAGGTCTGATTGGCCAAGGTTAGGGCACAGTAGTGATGTGGTTGGCCAACGTTAAGACATGCTGCTTGGGCTGATTGGCCAGGGGCAGAGCCACGCCACACTGAGATGACCAGGCAGTTTCAATCAATGGAATCCTCCATGATAAACCTTTAGACAAACTTCAAGAAAATGTTTTCTTAAGCAGACATTTGTTATTTTTTACCATTGGTCATTTCTACACCCTCCTGCCTATAATTTCTGATTTTGTGACCAATAGGAGTAAGGGCAGATAGGTGCTTCCAAGCATGTTTCCTCTGGATGGCACTTAGTGAAACCTGGGAGGGAGAGTAATTTAGTTTCCCTAACTGGTGGGAGAAGAGGTTGGGAGACCTAGTCCTGACACCTGAACACCTGTGTGCCTGGCCAGTGGGTCTTCTTCATGGCAATGAGGTTGCACCGTGTGGTTTCTCAGTGTATTATGATTCTCAAGTTCCAACAAAAATGTGTTCATCCCCTTTGTGGGGGCTACAGAGCTCTCCAGCCAGATGTGCTCTATTTGTCTCTCCTTAAGGGATTTAGAAGGTCTACCTGATGAGATCTGCTGCAACACCCACCCTCCCGGTACCCCTCAGCTGCTTCCTTGCTCTCCACAGCCATTCCACCATCTATTTATTTGACAGGCAGCAGTGTGCAGCTTTCACATTTAGACCTTGAGCCTCTGAATTCTGGGGTTGCTACTCTGTGACCCTGGGCAAATCATTTTACTGTGCTAGATCTCAGTCTTTTCATCCGTAAAATGGGAATACCAATAGGACCAGAAGGCTATCATGAGCCTTCGCAGTGGTAGTGCTGAGACCTTAACCCCTAGGCCACCAGAGAAGCCAAGGACTGTCATGAGGACCAAATGAATGTATTTTCTCCACGAGACTAAGACTCCACCACGACTAGTGTTTCTTTGGCATTTTATCCTGAGGAATTAATCTGCAGAATACTCCTGTGAGGAAGCTTTACCCAGTCCTCTGAGTGCTCCTCACTCTACAGCTTGTACCCAACTTCCTGTTGTGGATTTGTGAACCTACACGTTTCCTTGAAATGTGCCTGGGCTGGCCCCTCTTTCCCCTGCCCACTCATACCCACCTGAAGTGTGGGCTCCACTGACATCGAAACACAGAGGTGCTTAGGAATGAAATGTCCTGGTACCTGTGACTTAAAATACTTCAGTGAAAACCAAACAGGTGAAGTTGTGATTTCACTCATATGTAGTATATAAAGAAACCAAATGAATGAACTAGATAAAACAAAACTTTAGACTAATGATGAAATTATTGTTACCAGGAAGGTGTGGGTAAAGCAAATAAAAGGGGACAATGGGAGGGCGAAGGACTTTTAGTGGTGAATTTAATGTAGTAGAGACATGGGATGATTTATAATGATGCCCACATGAAACTTAGGTAATGTTATCATGCAGTGTTATATACTTATGCACTGTAACTTCAATGATAAATAGGAAAAAAATAGATGAAGCAAGCATGGCAAGGTGTTCACACTCAGTACATCCAAGCGTGGGGTACATACATGATATTCTCTGCATATGTGGAATTTCTCATTTAAAAAGTCAAGTGGGTGGATGGATGGATGGTGAATGGGTGGATGGATGAATGGATGGACAGTTGAATGAATGGATGGTGGATAGATGGGTGGATGGATGGATGGATGGATGGTGAGTGGGTGGATGGATGAACGGATGGACAGTTGAATGAATGGATGGGTGGATGGATGGAGGATGGATGGATGGATGGATGGATGGATGAACAGTTGAATGAATGGATGGTGGGTGGATGGAGGGATGAATAGTTGGATGGATGGACCTGATTGTCCTGCCCTATTTGTGAGCCTGTGGCCCTGGAGCCGCTCCATGGACTGGACAGGTGACCCATCTCTCTGTCTCTGCCGTGCAGGATTTCCCTGGAAGACCTAAGTCCGAGTGTGGTGCTGCACATGACCGAGAAGCTGGGCTACAAGAACAGCGATGTCATCAACACCGTGCTCTCCAACCGCGCCTGCCACATCCTCGCCATCTACTTCCTTTTAAACAAGAAACTGGAGCGCTATTTGTCAGGGGTGAGTGGGGCCCTGCGGCACTTTTCTCTATCCTCTGTGGAAAAAAGCTCTATCTCCCAAAGTGTCTCCCAGTTGTTGACACTTGATCTAAGCTGTTCATGTCAATGAAGGTGAGGCAGAGTTTCCTGAATGTGGGTTAGAACAGTAACTAAACCTGCTTCTCAGGCAGAGCTTTTTATCTGAGGTGCTTTTCAAATATCCACCCACAGAGTTAAGCCCTGGACAGAACTGTCAGAGATTCAGCCTCTTTTCCCTTCAGCTTCTCTGTTGCTTTTTTTCCCCTACTACCTCTCAGCAACGTGGGTTTCCCCATGCTAGAGGTATTGGGGACTTCTCTGGTTGTAAGAGTTGGAAAGAAATGTCTCTCGGACATCTTTGTAAAATATGGCTTTTACTCTACCACGTATACAGTGTCGTACCTCACCATAACCTCACACGTGAATTGAAAAACAAATAGCATGGCCTTTGAGGAAACCACTATTCTCGTCTACTTATCCAGAAAGTGAGGACCATGCTGAGTGTCACTGGCCTGCCCCAGCCCCTTCACTCAGCCTGGGCATCAGAAAGTCCAGGTGTCTGTGCCACAATGGGGTTCAGCTAGGAGACCCCAAGCCTGAGGCAAATGGCAGTGTACCCTCATGCATTAGCCTGGCATCTGGCTTCTGAGTGTCTGAATTTGGGGGCTGCTACCACTTCCTGCCTAGGTAACCTTGGGCAAGTTACTTCCTGTGGGCCTCGGTTTCTTTCTCTGTAAAATGGGGCCAGTAACACCGTTCTTTACCATAGTCATTTCCTATGTGCCTGGCTAAAGGATTTTGCATGCTTGGGTATCTAGGTTTTTAATTTTTGTTTTACTTTTCCATTTGTCTGTTGTTTACACAACTTTATAATTTGGGTGTACAGCTTCACACCTTCATAGTGCGCATGCTTCACTCACCTGCCCCCAGACTCCAGTGCCGTCACTTATTCCCCTTCCTCCTGCTCATGCACCCCCCTCCCCCACCCTACCTCCCGTTCCCTCTAGGGACTAGCATACTGCTCAGAGTCTGAGAATTACTCTTGCTGGGCTTTGTCATTTTCTTTTCTTTGGTTTTTTATGTTCCACAAATAAGTGAAACCACCCTGTATCTGTCCTTGACTTTCTGACTTACCTCGCTCAGCATCGTCACCTTAAGATCCATCCATTTTGTCCCAAAAGTCACTGGTTTTAATTTTTAATAGTTGAGTAGTATTCCATTGAGGATATCTTCCACAATTTCTTTATCTGGTTACCTGTCACTGGGTGTTTAGGTGGCAGCCATGGCTTGTGTCCGTGAGCAATGCTGGTACGAACACGGGCGTGCAGAAATCATTCCAGATCGGTGTTTTCATGTCCTTTGGGTAAATACCTAGCACTGCTATTACTGGATCCATTTTTATTTTTTTAAGGACTCTCCATGCTGTTTCCATGGAGGCTGCACCAGATCACATTCTACCAACGGGGGCTGAGGGCCCCTTTTGCGCCACATCCTTGCCAACACTTGTGGTTTCCGGGCTTTTTGACATAAGGCCACTTTCCCCTAGGTGATGCCTCATTGTAATTTTGGTTCTAATAACTGTTATTGGGCATTGTGATATTTTGTTGCCTGTAGGCACACAAAACTTTTATGAGAAGTTTCTATTTAGGTCTTTTGCCCATTTCTTTTTGGTTGGGTGGTTTATTTGATTTTTTTTGTTGAGCTGTGTAAGTTCTTTCTACATTTTGGAAATTAATCCCTTGTGGTATGCAAATACCTTCTCCTGGTCTGCAGGTTGCCTTTCTTTGACAGGATAGGCAAAATTGCTGAACACTGAACTAGACTCTCTAAGAAAAAAATGAGAAAATGCAAATAAAAAGAATAAGAAATGAAAGAGGCAAAATTATAACAGATGCCACAGAAATGCAAAGAAAGGATCTTAAGAAACGGCTGTGAATGTCTTTATGCAAATAAATTGAATCCTCTAGAAGAAATGATATCTAGCTTTGACTGAATCATCTTTCTCCAAATGGACAATAGCTTCAAAAGAATTCTGCAAAGAAAACTGGCTCCAGGCGGCGTGGATTCTGCCCTTGTGTTCTCCTCCTCAGAGTAGCTGGTGTTAAACACATCCACCAGGACGTAGGCAAGGGGAATCCGAGTTGTTGGGCACCCATCTGAAGCGTGATTTCCTACCCATCTGATCATGTGGATTATGGGTGGGGAAGAAGAATGTGAAGATGAACTTCTGGAGTCTTCCAGAGCTTTTTAAAGTCATGAACTCATCGGCCCAATACATCACAGAAGTCCACTAAACAATAGAAACCTTTTGTGAGATTTCTGTATTAGAGCTAAAGGTGAACCCTCCCTCTGCCCCCGCTCCCCTGTAGTTGGGGAAAAAGGCGGAAATGACCCAGATTAATGCTTGGCAGCCAAGATGGCCAGAGTGTCCGTGTCTCTTGTCAGCAAACAGGTTCAGGAGAGGTCAGGAGAACTTGCTGAGTGGACGACGCGGCTCAGCGGGAAGTCTGTTAACAGTTGGGCGAAAGTGCAGCTGTTTCTGAGCTGATTCAGCACAGGCTATTTGCTAGATTTTGCTTCGATAGGAAATTATCCACCAAACAACATTTTTTTGGTCAAACGCTAAAGAAAAGAGGTTCACAAGAAGAATTAACTCCATAGTAAAAGGCTTTTAAACGTAAGAGCAATGTCTTATGGGGGAAAATGTGCCCCACGTAAGCAGCGACAGGACGCATGCTGATGAGGACAAAGGCAACTTTGGGACTAGATTTTACAGACGATGCCATGGACACAGGAGAGCTGCTGCAGGGGGAACGTTGCGCCTGGGAAGAAAAAAAAAATTTGTGATTTTTTTTTCTTTTATTTTTGCTTAGAACTGGGGTGTAGGCCAGAGGTGTTGGGGGTGGTGGTGAGAGGATTCACCAGAGACAGTGGGGACCAGAAAAGGTGCATCTACTAAATATACTCTGGGGGAGCAGCTAGCAAGAGAGGAGAGGTCTGCTGCGCCATGTGAGACAGCTCCCTGGCCAGGGATCGAACTCAGGCCATAGTTATGATAGCTTGATAGTGCTGAGACTTAACCCCTGGGCCACCAGGGAGGCCCAACACATACTTTATTATTGATACCATTTTATGTGATAAGGAGTGATTACGAAAATCTCTTATCTCTCTTGAAGCTGTTTCTCACTTCTCTTTTACAAGGATACCATCAGCCCCACTCCCTTTCTTACCCTTTTGTTATTTCACTACACGTCTTATAACAACTTGGTGTATTGGCACAGTGGTATCTGCTTGCAGTGCTGGGTGCCTGCTTACAACTGCTTCCCTGATAAAGGCTGAGGACCACACCATTTAGGGACACGGGCAAGAGGGTGATGCTTAAGAATTTAAATAGTTCTCAAGTCAAAGGAAGAGAAGAGGATCCACTCAGGGATTTTTCTTTTTCAGATGATGAATGTTGTTCAAAAGCTAGTTTTTAAAAAGTGTTGTCGTGAAACCGCCGATAAAGTTCGTGCTTTCCCGTGGTTCAAGATGACATGCTGCTTTGCTGAGTAAGCCAGGGAGTCAGACATTCTTCTCGGGACAGAGCATGTTCTTTGGATGCTGAGCGATAAGATGGAGGGAGGTTAGGCTTTTTGAGGAATAGTTTCTTTCTTGCCGGTGTGAACTTTGCTTACCCGCACTTTTCCTGAGCAATCACACACCTCATTCCTAAGAGAGAGACACTTGTCTAAAACTCTGTGTCTTGATATATCGGGATGTCTTGCCATCTGCTGGTTTCTGCTATTTAATTTTGTCCAGCATCACAGTATCAAGTGGCAGTTTCGCAGAGCGGAACATGGCTTTGTCTACTGAGAATATTCCCTGGAAATTCAGCTGATGTAGTTCCAACTGGGGAAGGTTCTTTTTTGATTGTGTTTACTTTGCACTTAACCCTGAAATCCTAGGACCGACCTGGCCTGAGGACCAGCATTTAGCTAAGTGGCTGCTTTTAGAGGGTAATCCCTGTAGACCGCCACTCTTCTGCTCAGTGCTTTACATACATGGCTAACTTCATTGTCCAGGGTGCCCTGTCCTAGTTGCTAATGTCGTCAGCCAATTACTGACAATCCAGTTTTGATTTTGAAATTAAAACTAGTGAACTAGAAAGTAAAATACTTGATTACAGTTGTCACCTCTCCCTTCGCTCTTAGTACTTACTTCCGCTTTCGAAAACAAGAAGTATGGATGTTAAGTTGGAGAGCCATAAGGGTTTCATGGGTTGATAAATTAATTAATCGGTCATTTAGTTTCGTCTGTCATCAGATAGGATCACCTCCAGCTCATCTTAGCTATATTTGTCTATTTTCTTCTTTAAGCTGCATTATGAATTGCTGTGACTTTTATAGGGGGTTGGGGGTGGGTGGGAACAAGGGCTGTTTTGAATATTTTTTAATTAATTTATTCATTTATACAAGAACTGTGGTACAGGCCAGATGTGCGGGAGGGTGAGAGAATTCACCAGAGCCAGAGTGGGGAACAGAACAGGCAGGCTGATGAAATACACTGCTGAGGGGAGCAGTGGGCGTGACCGGAGAGGTCTGTCGCACCATGTGGGACCCTCACCAGCCAGCCAGGGTCAAACTGGTGCTGCAGAGGCTGCGGACAGCTTCACAGCGCTGCGCTCAACCACCTGTGCCCCCAGGGAAGGCCCTCAAGTGCTGTTTTTAGATAAGCAAACAAACAAGCAAGGTTCATATCCCACTAGTAGTTCAATAAAATAAACTATCTTCCCAACTCTCATATTTGGTTTCTGCTTATGCATCTTGAAGTAGACTTCATTAGAGAGGTGAAGGAGCCAGCATCCAGACACAACAGCAACCTGCAGGGTGACCTGGCCTTTTCCTGGTACAGCCAGTAACAGAAGTAGGATGCCTGCCTGGGCTTGGAGCTGTTCTTGCAGGCAGTTTATTGGCTTGCCCGCCATTTTTGGCACTTTCTCTGCCAAGCTCTGGTTTAAAAATTAATGACCATTTAATGGACACTTTATTTCCCTGTGAACTGAGCCAGGCTTTTTTCCTCTTCTCTGGTAGAAATCTGACATCCAGGACAGCATCTGCTACAAGACCCAGCTCTACCAGATAGAAAAGTGCAGGCCCTCCAAGGAGTCCTATGAGGTGAGTGATCCCCAAGCCAGGATCTCTTAGGCAGAGTGGATTTTCATTTTAGGGGGAGACTGGAAAGGAAAGCAATAATTGTGGGACATAGACAAACATTGACCTACTTAACTGAGCCCTGGAGGATAGTTTATGGCAGATCCCCGGGGCCCAGTCTCTAGACTGTGGTTCCCTGCTATGGGGACAGTAGAGTCACCTGGGGACACTAAAACATCTGGATGCCCAGGGTGGACCTCAGACCATTGCCAAGGACTCTCATGGGGCAGGCTGGGGGCACAGTATTTTCTAAAGCTGCCTGGATACTCCCTCTGAGTAATCAAGGTTAGAAACAATTATCAGGTCCCTAATAGGTAAACACAACACACAGCAGGTCCTGAATAACCCTTTTTTGCTCAGTGTTGCTTATTATAATGTTGATGAGAAGGAAAAAAATTCAAGTCCTGGCCAGAGCCACTCTCTGGGAGGCTGGCACATTCTCCCCATGTCTTTGTGGGTCTTCTCTGGAGCTGGTTTTCTCCCACATCCCAAAGATGTGCACGTGGGGTTCCTTGGTGGGTCTGTGGTCCCAGTCGGAGAGTGGGTGGGATGTGTATCAGGAGAAGGAAGTAAGATGAGGTGCAGGGGGCCAGGAGTGGAGGCCTGGGGGCGGGGATGTAAACAGAAACTGACTGGTTTCTTTGCTTCAAAAGAGGAATTGATTAGAAGATTACACAGGCTCATAGAATTGACTCCTTACGTGTCCCCACCTACCTGGCACACAGTAGGTGCTCAGTAAATATTTGCCAAATGAACAACTGAGAGAATCAAGTGGACCTTGACTTGGGTGTCTGAAAATTGGTAGAACTGCGACAGCCACTGGAGAAGCTAGAAGGTTCCAGGCAAGCAAGGGGACCCCTGCAGCACAGTCCAGTACAATCACTGGCAGTGAGTGGGGGGAACCTCAGCTGGAGTCCAGGGGATCTGAATTCACTGTTAGGGCCTCCTGCCTCTTTGTTTGCACTTGACTTAAGGGCCTCAAGCAATAATCCAATCCATGAATAGAGGCACCAAGTGCCTGCATTTATGTTCCCCAAGTGGCCTCTGAGCTGCTCTGCTAACATCTGTGTCCCTGGGGACCCTCTGCCCCACCCCCACCCTGGTGTGTTGGAAAGTGTCACAACTGTGATGGGAATCACCTTTCATCCAGGTGATTTCCCTCGACGCATAGTTCACTGGGCCCCGAGACACCCGGTGCGTGTTTTAAACATTTGTTAAAATACTTAATGGTGAGGGCTTAAACGGGAACACTAATGGGAAAACAGCCTTTCAATTCTCTATGATCCATTTGTTTTCTCCAAACGGCAGTGAGATTTCTGCTAATTAAATGACAGGCTGTGATGAGCTCCGCCAGCTCCTCTCCACTGCAACCTACAAAGTGCAATGGAGCCACTTAGAAAAGGCTTGAAAGGTAAAAAAAAGAGCCCAGATTTGCTCAGTGGAGACCACGCAGAGCCTCTGTGGGCTCCTTCCCTCTCGGGGTTACAGTGCTGGGTTTTACTTTACTGTTCTTTCTACCGCTTCTTCCCGTGAGAGGCAGAGATGATGTCTGCAAAAGTGGGACCCGTGTTTCACCCAAGAACACCCCAGGCACACTCCTGAGGGACTCCTGTTCCTCTAGGAGGCCCTGGAGGGTTCGAGGTGGAGCAGTCATCGTTGTTAAATGGCTGATTCAAGTCATCTGGAGCCAGAATCCATTTTTGTTAAGAGTCTTTACAAATGTTAACTTATAGAAATCGTAAAATAGAACTAGGAGGTTTTTTCTGTACTGTCCAAGTAATATTGCAGTTTGGAGGAGAAGCTGCCCAGTATCCAAGTGACTGCGTGCTCAGCTGGCACAGGACAGTGCCTCCAGCTGAGCGGCTCACACAGCAGAAACCATCGTCTTGCAGTTCTGGCCCCTGAAGTTCAAGATTAAGGTGTCAGGGGCATGCAGGGAGAATCTGCTTCATACTTAGCTGCTGGGGGGTGCTAGCAATCTTTGGCATTCTGGGTTATAGGAGCCTGGCTCCATCACCGACTGCACCCGTAGGTGATATTCTCCCTGTGGATGAGTCTCTGTCCAATTTCCCCCCTGATGTAAGGTTACCCGTCACATCGCATCAGGGTCTGCCCTGTGGCCTCCCGTGTCAACCTGATTACCTCTGAAAAGACCTTGTCTTCAGATGGAGTCATCACCTGAAGTCCTGGGGATGAGGGTGCCTACAAATGACTTGGGGGGAAATACAGTTCAGCCCACCATGGGCAAACATTAAAATGTTCGCCTTGCATCTTAAAATCTGTACAACTTCTAAAAATAAGGTTTGGAATCAGGTTAATCTATACTGCTAGAAGTCAGACTGGGAGAGACCGTGATGGGGAGGGCAGGCTGGGAAGGGCTTCCAGGTGCTGGTCATGTTCTGTTTCTTAATCTGGGTGCTGGTTCCATGAGTGTTTTTGTAGTTTGAGCAAACACATCGAGTTGCTTGCTCATCATCAGCACACTCCTCCGTTAGGTGTCTTAGACTTTCACAAAAAGTTTACCTAGAGCGTCTACTCCATGCATGGCTGGGGACATCTGCCTGCTGCCACGACCATTTAGTAGTTGGGTTTCTTTTAGTAGTTGGGTTTCTTTCTTACTCTGTAAGCACTAAGATGAAGAATTCTCAGCTGGAGCCGGAGGGGGAGTGGTAGGCAGTAGTGTTTAGAGGATAAAGAGCAGATACAGTGTCATGAATTGTTGAAAAATGCTCCTTTTCACAGGCTTCCCTGGACACTTGGACAAGAGACCTTGAATTCCATGCTGTGCAGGTAAGAACTTTGGGGTTATGCTGGACCCCCAAATCAGTCAGAATTTTTTAGAGAAACAACCAAGTTGTGTGTGTGTGTGTGTGTGTGTGTGGTGCTTGGAGATTCAGGGAAGAGTCGATGTTTTGCTTCAAAGCAGAGTTCCCTCGTCTTTTTCTCTCAAGGCCTTGAACTGATTGGGTGAGACCCACCCACCACATTGTGGAAGGTAATATGCTTTACTCTAAGTCTGCTGATATAAATGATAAGCACCTTTAAAAAAATTCTTTTAGCAGCAACTGTGTTTGACTAAAAAGTGGGCACCCTGGCCCAGGCAGGCTGACACAGGAAAGTAGCTATCACATTTCATCCTGAGGTAATACATCTCTGCCCAGGCCTCTGGACTCAGTACAAGTCCATCCTCATTCTGAATTAAAACATGCTGAATGCAGTCGTGAGTTGGCCTGCAGAATCCCCTCAGAGCAGAGCAATCCCTCCTTTCTTCGTGCTGCTGGCAGTTTATTGTCTCACTGTAATCTCACAATTGGCTCTCCCTGTGTGCTTCTACCTGTATGAGATGGGGTTTGCAGCAGTGGCCCTATTTTCTCATTTTCTCAACTCACTCATGATTTTCCTTCAGCAAGATCAGATCTCTGTGGCTTTCCCTGGTGTGATGGCAGCAAGGAATGAAAATCAACTAGCCGACAGCACCTGGGCCCTTGGGTGTTCATGCTCCACACCTGGTTCTGATGCTGCAGACAGCTAGGGGAGGCCACAGCACCATCAAGGGCACACCAGGCTTGGGAGACCTGAACCTGAAAGTGTCTCACAGGAAACAGCTTCATTTGGCCTCAGGAACACCCCCACCCCTCCAACCCCTGCTGCTCAACTTACTGTCTCTGGTCAATTCTTGCTGCAGCCAGGCTGAAGAGCAGGTGCAGTCACATCTGTCCTGCTTAAGCTGGTGCATTTGCCTCTCAGACAATGAAGCAAGTGAGACGTGAGGTTCATTTTGACACTGGCAGAGATGGGAAGGGCCCACTCTTCTGGTTACAGATGGGGAGACACGTCCCTAGGGACAGTGATTTGCAGGAAGGTGATCCTCCTACACCCATGGGAGCAAAACCAGAAGGAAGGGGGTGGGTGCGATTGTTTGGCACGCAGGCACCTGGAGCCACAGGGAAGAGTCTGAGCTGGACTAGTCCCCCGAGCTCAGACCTCTGGGCTGAGAACAGGCTTCCTCCTCCCATTGGCAGTGGCACCTACAGATACCGCCTTCCAGAAGCCTGGCAGATCATCACCCCATCCTTCACCTGCTCCCCCCACCTTCCTCTTCTCCATCAAACAATGTAAGACATTGAAAGTCTCGAGTAGATAGGCCTTCGTGGAGCCACATTTTTAAAGTTTCCACTTGTGTAAATGGCGGTGCTCATGTGCACTGGGTGGGAAGTGGCTCAAACAAGTGCCTGCAACATCCCTTGGGACTGGATCAGGGCCTCATGGAGTCCCCTCTAATCTGCTGGGGGCAGGGGATGTGAGACTATGCGTGAGGATTTAAGGAGGGCCCTCCAACCTGCAGCTTCGGTTCCATTGCCTGCCACTGGGCATGGGGATCCAAACCTGTAGGAAGCCAAGGAGGCTGCTCATTGCCAGGAGGGGTGCCAGGGGGTGGGTGCAGGCACGTTGAAGGGGAACATAATTAGGCCCTCTGAAGATCTTTTTATGTTACGTAAGGCAATGTACCATCCTGTTCCCGAGCAAACTTCCCTTGGACAAAATAGACCACACCATGATTAGATGCCATTGGGTGATCGTTTGAATGTGGTGACCTGTGTTTGGAGGGCGATGACATGACTGGTGAGAACAAACACAGGCGGGTGGTCCTTCCATGTGGGCTGTCCCCCTGCAGGGAGATGGTGGTGGTGAATTTTTGCATCCCACTAGAACCCAGTACTATGAAATCACCTATTCTTTTAGACTGGGGGAGGGCATTCTGGGGGTTGCAGGAGGCGCCAGGGTGCAGGATCCAGGCATGGAGTTGGATCGTGGCCTTCACAGGGCTTACTGAAATTTTCAGCCCCTCCATCCACTTCCTCTTCTGACCCCACAGTGGGCTTTCGGCTAAATAGCCCTTTGCCAAATATGCCTTTGTCAGCTATACGAGAAGGTTCTAGACCACCCTTGGTCTTTCTTTCTACAGAAAACTCTTGTGCCTGCTACACCCCTTGGTGTTAAAAGCCCCAATAAAGGGTGGTGTTGGGTGGGGAGTGGTCCTGGCCCTCAGAAATTACCTGTTTTGATCCTTCAACTTTTGCGAGCCCAGGGGAGTCTGATGGAGCTGAGGTGGCCCAGAAAGCCCCTGTCCACCATCTAAATGTGGAGATCTCAGTGCAGCCCGGAAGGAGCATTTGCTCATTGCTTTAAAAAGAACCAAACCCTAAAAAGGCAGGAGCAGCAATCTTCTCTTCCAAATATGTGTTACAGTGTATTACAAAAGTGTGTTTGATTTCCTTTTTCCTGCTTAAGGTGTTAACAGGTTGAACCAGTGACTTCTCTCATAAAAATAGAGATAGAACTGAGCAAAAGGAGGAATTTTTTCAGGACAAGCCCATCATGTCCTTTGATGCTAGGGGACAGGGAGTGTGAAAGCCAACTGCTTTGCAGACACAGGGAGAAGGAAGCCATGGAGAGCTGTGATTGACCTTGACCTTGGTGACGTGGCGCGCTTGGCCCCCTGTCCCCTCCAAAGCATCTAGACACTGACCAGGACAAAAACACAGTCCCTGCCCCCAGCTTCCCAAGGGCAGTGTGGAGTCAAGCTTAAGAGCACCAACTATCAGGCCGTGAAAACCTGTTTTCAATTATTTTACCATGCCCGGATTTGCCTATTCGTGGGCCGTGCTCTTAGTACAGCACCTGGCACCCCCAGTCGTCAATAACGGCTGGGGTGACTCGACAGATACTGGGGTGGGAGTCTGCAGGAACTTCACCTGTTCCCGCTTTCCATGTCACCGCTCCAAAGGGCACAAGCCTCCTGGGTCTGCCAGGTTCAGACCCCGCCATGAGCTCTCATACCCCCCCAGCCCCACGTGGCCCTGGAGGCTTAGTGTCCCCCACTCCACATTTCTTCCCTCCTGTTCGTCCCCACTCAAAACCTGGACACAAGGCAGCCCAGTCCGAGAAGGCTTTGAAAAATCTCATTAAGAAGGGCTACCCAAGTGCCAGAGATGTTTCCTCCGGAAGCTTTTCAACAACATCCATGAAAAATAGATGAGCTCTCTTGAATTGCAAATGCTCTTAAAGTAGAAGGCAAAATGTGAAAATTGGTCTCTTTTTCCATCATTCATGGTGAGGTCAGGGATTGAGTTGCCTGTTTAACAGTAAACATCAAACGCAGACTTGAGCCAGAAAAGAACTTAATCTCAGTGGCATCACCCTTCCCAGAAGCTCGAACTCAATTAAATTTAATTCAGTTGGTTTTCCACTGGCTTTAAAAAAAAAATTCAATATTTATTAAGCTTTCTCCGAGTGCCTGGATCCATGCCAGAGGCCGTGGGATTAAAGATACATAAAATAGTCAAATTCACTCCCATCAGAGAGATTGCGATCAAGTTCAGTAAAGACAAGATTTACAGCAAAAGTGGCTCAAGGGTGCCAGTGTTAAATTTCCAAGTCTTCGTGTGCCCCAAGGATGGAAAAGAGCCAGAACCTTACCTGGGAGGGGCTCAGGGCACCCCGATTTGCGGTCCGCTTCCTTGACCTGACCGAACACACAAGAACTGGTGGGAGCGGCTGGGTTTCTGGGTGCTGCTGCAAAGCCTGTGCTGTGGGCAGAAGCCCTGAACCCCCGCTGGGAGGTGTCCGGCTGTCCTCCACTGCTTAGCCTCGGTTCCTTCAGCCAGTTCCGGGATAACTGACATCCCAGGCATGACCTGGCCCCAGCTGGAGCACAGCTTGCTGCCCAGGGAGAGGCAGGTGAGGCCCCTGCAGCATCTTGGGGAGGCAGCCCCGAGTACAGGGGCATGAATAACTGGGGCGTCTCAACTTGGTGCCTCTTCAAAGAGGAATCGGATCATGGGCTCTGGTGTGTGTCTGAGCGTGTGTGTTTCCTTTTGATTTGAAGGACAAAAAACCCAAAGAACAAGAAAAAAGAGGGGATTTTCTTCATCGGCCATTTTCCAAGAAGTTGGACAAGAACCTGCCGGCCCACAGACAGCCCCCAGGCTCCCTCATCACGCAGACGCAGAACACCAAAGCCCTGCTGAAGGACCGGAAGGCCCCCAAGTCCGGCTTCCCGGACAAAGGTGGGTCAGCTCGAGTACCCTCTAGGACATTGTGTTGAGCTGTGTTCCCCTCATGAGTAATGGGACAGACACCCTCTTGTGCCCTGGAAAGGCAACGTCAGTGCACCCAAGGCCACCCAGAACAATCCAGGTCCGGTGTGAGTGATGTCAGCTGCAGTGCAGACAGCACCATCAGCAGGTGCAGAGCTGGGGTGCATGCTGTTGTGGGGCAGAGATAGGCGCACATGGTGTTGTGGGAGCCTCGGGGTGTAAAGTGCTGCGGGGTAAGATGTGGGAGCAGCTGTCTTATCAGGGGGCATGGTATCGCAGGAACAGAAATTAGGTGTAAGTTACCACAAGAGTAGATATTGGGGTGCAGAGAACAGAACGAGGAACTCAGTAGTGTGAGGCAGAGGAGAGGGAGCAGAAGCAGTGATGGGGTTCGGTGTGGTGAGAACCTTCCCCAGGACTGTGAGCCTGTGTGTGTAGGGGGCGGTGCTCAAACCCCAGCTCTAGGGTTTGTTGTAGTTTGAGTTTCCTTATCTTCTGAGATTTTGACCAACTGCTTTTGCTTTTGCAATGAAACAGGACCTGGTGTACCAGCTGTTGGACGGGTTAAGTGAGGCGCAGAGTGGGTGTCTCTGCCTCCCTCAGAATCAGCAGATCCGCTAAGTGGTGAATGTATATCTCCCTCCTTGGGATGAGCATTGAGGGATGCAGAAGGGACACACCCAGATGTACATACACAACCAGACACACACACACACGTAGGCAGATACTCACGTATACACACCCAGGCACACACACACACACCCAGAGCTTAGGAGTCCAGATTTCCGACCGGGCAGACTGGTGCTAGAACTTTCTGCCCCAACCATTGGATTCTGCTGCTTCCCGATGAGGATGGATGAGGAGCAGCAGGAAGATGCTCACAGGGTGGGCCGAGGCCCAGGTTCTTTCTGCTGGGGCAACGTGGTGCTCGGGTCAGTTCCTGGGGGGCTGAGTCTGAGGTGAGATTAGCAGGGCATGTGGGAGGCCCCTCTCTGGTCCCTCTGGGAGGCGCCAGGGCAGGACCGGACCAAGGGCAAGGTGGGTGCACAGATGGGGGAGATGCTTGGGCTCCAGCTGGAGTAGCCCTGAGGAAACCTTACCCGTTCCTGCCCGTGAATCTCAGGCATCTGTGGCAGCTGGAGATCTGCTTCAGATCTCTGTGTAAGTGTGTCCTGGGTGTCTTGTTTACGTAAGGCAGAGAGGGTCTGCGCGCCCTTGGTGCTCCCACACACACTCTCGGGCGTCACAGCTTGCTCTGCTGTGGGGCCGCGACGGGGTGGAAGAGAAAGGAGGTGAAGGCAGAGCTCGCTGGGTGTGAACTTGGCTTTATTTCCCTCCACTCCAGATATGTGTATGGAGGTCCCCTTCCTTTTCTGGCACAGTTTGCAAACCTCGATTCCCATCTGTGCCGATTTGAGATAGAAGCAGTGAGGACTGGCTTGTGGCCTGAAATGTGGGTGCCGCACCCCATTCAGATGTCATGAGGGAGCCCAGGAAGGAAAAGTCTGCTCCTGCTTCATCGCGGTGAACCTTGAGCAGGTGACGAATGAGCCGCCACCCAAGGACAGATTCTGCAGGAGTCCACTTGCGCAAGGCGCCTGCGGTGGCCAGGGGCTGGGAGCAGGGCCCCAGGGGAGCTGTGGTTTAAGGGGGACAGTTTCAGCTTTGCTGGATGAAGAGAGTTCTACATCCCAGTGTGAATGCGCTCAGCCCCACTCAGCGGTGCCTTTATTTATTTATTTTTTGGGGTGCCTTTAAAAGTGGCTAAGAAAGTACATTTCACATTATATGTTGTTTTTTTGGTTTGTTTTTTTTTTTTTACCACAATTACAATTACAAAAATAAAGTCACAGGAAAAACACTTCTTCCAGCCTCAATATCTGAGCACCCGATTCCAGGGTCCTCAGCAACTTGAGCTTCCCATGAACTTTGCTTAATGTGCTTCTGGCATCTTTGCAACTGTTCCATTGAGAGCAGGTGCTTCTTTTATTCAAAACGCCCTTGGCAGGGTCCTGAATTTTAAGCCTCAAAAGGGGAGCAGATGTGACTGGTGCCAGGAGGCGAATCGGAGCCCAGGAGGCTGCGGCCACCAGTCTGATGGCCCGTACATTCCACAAAGCCTCTCTGGGCCCTGTCGGGGGTCACGTGCTGACCAAACCTCTCTCCGAGTAGCCAGGACTCCCGGTGCTGCTTCCTGCTGCCCTCAGCCGGGCGACAGGCTACCCCAGCCAGGCTGGCCAGCGGCAGCACGGGCCCCTGGGCATGGTTGGTGCGGCTTCCTCACCATTTCCTTTGCTCTCTTGGTGTACAGATTCCTTCGGCTGCCGCAATATTTTCCGCAAAACCTCAGATTCCAATTGTGTGGCTTCTTCTTCCATGGAGTTCATCCCCGTCCCACCTCCTAGAACCCCCAGGATTTCCAAGAAGCCAGAGTCCCCCCCGCAGGGGCCTGGAAACACGGGCATCCCCCCCAGGGAAGACCCCTTGATGCTGGAGATGGTGCGCTCCTTCGAGTCTGTGGATCGTGACGACCAGGTGGAACTGCTCTCCCCGACCCATCACTATAGGATTCTAAGCTCCCCCGGGGGTCTGGCTCGAGGACACCCCAGTGAGCGAACACTCTCCCCAGTCCTTCTGCCTGGAAGCCCGTCAGCTCTCCACTCCACTCTGGTCTCCTTTTCTCACGAAGATAAGAACAGCTCCCCCAAAGAGGAAGGTGTCTGTGCCCCACCTCCGGCTCCCAGCAATGGCCCCACGCAGCCCCTGGGGAGCCCGAATTGCGTCAAGAGCCGGGGCAGGTTCCCCATGATGGGCATTGGACAGATGTTGAGGAAGCGGCATCAGAGCCTGCAGGCGACCACAGACCGGCCCCTGGAAGCCAGCATGCCCCCTCTGCAGCCCATGGCCCCTGTGAGCCTCTCCTTTGATATGGCTGATGGTGTCAAAGGCCAGTGTTAACCTGGACCAGCAGCAGGATGGGGGTGTCTCTGAGGGACGCCATGGGACAGAGCTCCAGCCTGGAGGGTATGAAGACTCCATGGAGGCAGCTTTCCTGGCCTCCCCAGCTCCTGCCGTGCTGTGTCCCAACTGTGGAACTGCTGGCACCCACAGACCCCAGGCCTGCCTAGCCCCCTTTCACTTAGGGACCTGCAGAGAGGCCGCTCAGAGGCTTGGCCCTGGTGTGGCCAGTTCCAGTCGTCATGTCCTCCTTCCTCCCACCCACTCACTGGCCTTCACCCACCTCCCCTGCTGGGTTCAGGGTGAGGAGCTGCAGGCCCGGGGTCCCCAGACTGCAGCTGTTAGGAGACCTTTCTTCACTCTGTGCTGCGTGTGCCTCTCGGTGGATTGTTGTCCTGACAGCCAGCCACACGGGACTGGGGCAGCAGCTCAGAGGGTCACCCAGGCCTGCTCTCCCCTCCTTCATAGCAGTGACTCCCCACAGGGGTGCTGGACCCCAGGAACCTCCGAGGAAGCCAGGCAAGTGCCCCAGTATCCAGCAGTGCCCCACTCTGAGCAGAACCCTGCTGGGCAGAGACAACCGACTAGTGGGGACCCCGAGTGAAGGAAAAGCTCAAAGGGGACACCCACCCCCCAAGCAAGAGTTTGCCAGACTTTCTTTCGTTTTTGTGGCTGGAACCTGCTAATGGTCCACTTACCTTCTCCAAAGATGATTTTTCTTTACGTAATGTCCTTAGATCGAAGCAACATCATTTCAGAAAACCTGGATGGAAACATAAGAAGGAATTGCACCGAACATTCCATGAGAGGATGAGCGTGGAAGGCACTTGGGCTCCCCCCAGGATGATGTTCTGGGTGGCCTACAGGAGGGGTGTGATCAAGACCCTCCCTGCATTCTCCCATCCCATCAGCCCAGCCCTGATCCTTCCAGAAGGTTTAGAACATAGTTCCAGTGGATTGTTTCCAAAGAGAGAAAGTGGTGCAGGTCAGATATGGATGGCAAGGAGGAGCCGTTTCCTCTGTGCAATATGGTTTTCAAGCTGCCAAGAAAATGAGTATTGCTTAGAGCTCAGCTAGTTTGTGGGCACCATGTAGAACAGGCATGCCCAGCAGGGTCATGTGCCATAAGAGCAGGGTCTTCTTGGAGGACGGCACCCTTCCCCACACAGGTTTTGAGTCCATGTTCTGTCTTCACACCTTTTGCCAAGGATTGAACCAAAGATGCGTCTCCGGTGCTGTATCTGTGCCGTCCCTGTGTGTGCCGGTGTGTGGACCCTTTGTGGTCTGACCGTGTCCAGCTGGGCCTGCCTGGGGTGCTCTCCACATGGGGTTGGGGCCTGGCGCATGGCAGGGACCCCTTGGTCATGAGCAGAATTGGAAAAAGAACTAACCAGTTTGGATAGCAATGGCCTGGAGTTTTCAACTGGTGACTAAGCCAGGGGTGACCAGCAGCCACTATGGGGGCCACCTGAAGGCCAGTCTACTAAGCCCACTGACTGTGAGCCTGTGGCAGAGAGCAGTGATGCTTCATCATCTTTTCCCTTTGGCCAGTGGTGGCCTTCTGCGTGTCTCCAACTGAGCAAGTAGAGCAGATATTTGACTGACCCTGAAACCCACTGTCCTGCCCAGTCCTGGCTGACCTTGACAAGACAGAGCTGCTATTTCCCCATTGAGGGGATCACCCCAATTCCCGGGCTTGTTAGGTGGGGGACAGGCTCCTGCCTGTTGGTGTTATTCCTTGGCATGACTCCAGACCGGGTTCTAGAACCTTCCATCAAACATAGAGCTATCTAAGCAGAGGAGAGAAAAGAAGTATCAAGAAGATTCTGCATTTGGCTTGAAACGTTTGGTTCTCACTGGGTGGTGGAGAAACCTTTCTGAGATTGTTTCCAGCTGCAAGTGGGCAACCTACAGGCTGGCAGGCTGTTACCTGTGCCTTGTGATTTCTAGTTCCTTTGTCTCTTTCATGTATTTTACTTTCCGTGTCGCTGTGAGCTCGTGGGGAACACGTTTCCCGTTCCCGAATGCGTCGAGAACAAGCTGCAGGCTTGTCTACAGTTAGCTGATCACATTGCCACGGGCCCCTGAACTGTGAACTCAGGTTTATTCTGAACCCAGTGAGAGGTGAGGGAGGTGAGGGAGGGAGCAAACTGTATTTTTGTGAGTGTGAGCACCGACAAATCTATGAAATCGAATGAAAGAAGAAATGTTAAATTGTTTATTATTTTATTATATTTATATGGAAAACTTGACTCTCCCTTTGGTAAGTACAAAGCCTGTTTATTGTCTACTTGACCGTGACTGTTTCTCGTTAGTCTGCACCTGTGAACTCAGTCAGCCTGTATTTACTGACGGAAATGACTGACCCACCATCACGTGACGTCCGGGGGGGAAGTCGGCTTCAATGGTTTGTTTTGGTCATAGGTAAGGACTGTGTTTATGTCACCATTACTAAATATATGTACTTTTATAATGACTGTGAAATACACGCTTCCCTCACTTGATGGCTTCGTTGTTTTGCTGATAAATCTTAAACCATCGAGTCCATTGCAAATAGTTGTACCATCTTCTACATAAAATTCTTAGCCCAACAACTGACTGGATGGAAGTGGGAATTGGGTTGTGGGGCATTTGGGGCATTTTCTGCTCGAGTGTCCTTGCTTCATTTCACTTGTAACATGTAGGTCTACAAAAGTCCATCTGGCTTGGCATATGGCGACTGGCCATTCAAGATGAGTCAGCATTTTTCTTTTGGGGCATAGGAGAGGGATCAGGATCTCCCAAGGAGACTCTGAAAGTCGCCTGTGAAGAATGACAACTGTGAATATTCCTTCTAGTGTTTGTCTTGTTTAAGCCTCCGTGAAGGAAGGGCAAGTGGGGCGATGAGGTGGGATGGAGAGGGGGTGTAGATTGCTTGCTTGGGTTGTTCGGTCTGTTTTCATCCATCACTGTCCACAGAGTGCCCTTCAGGTGTGATGTCTTGCTCCAACCCCATGTCCCCCGTATGGTGTGGCTGGGAGGGTGGCCTGGCTGGAAGGGGAGAGCTTACCATTCCTACCACAGGAAGCTCTGCTCAAGTTTGATGACAGGGGAGCAGGATGAGTATCTAGCTTTGAGGATGATGTTTCCTTTTAGAAATCAGAGCTTCTGAGAACAAAAAGAGACCTGAGATTATCTGGCTCAACTGCAACCTTTCGAAAAAGAGTAAGCCGGGGCCCTGAATGGTTTAAGGACACGTCCCCATTGTCACATTCCCAGTGTCCCCTAGTGAGTTGGCAGTTCAGGCTCAGGGCTCCTCCCTCAAAAACAGTCAGTGAGTGTGACCCCAGGAACATAGGAAGTCAACAGCAGATCAAGCCTTATCACAACATGTATCTCTGAAGCCCCGATGTGGATCAGGTCTTTATCTCATTCTCAGCCTTGTGCAGCTTGACATTCTGAGCACACAGTGTACACACCCTTGATTCTTGAAGTCAGAGAAAGACTCTTAACAGATCTGCCAAGAAAGCAGCAACCCTGGGGTAGCCGGGGTCTCTTCTTTAACTATCAAAAGGCTTTTGGGTTTCACTAGATTAAACCAACAAAACATTTCTATATAGCCCGGTCATAAAGGGAGACAAATCCAGAAAGATCGCAAGACTGATATTTTGGGTGAGGTCTGGAAACCCCTTGGTTATTGCCTTTGTTTCTTTGGGGGTGCTCTCTGTGCCGCTAGGCATAGTCAGAATAACGCAGAACAGCACTGGGAACTGGTTCAATTTAATGTCATCACTTTTCAATGAAAGGAGTGTATTTCCTGAGTAGTAAATGAGTGTATTATTTGTGGCAGCTTATTTGTCAAGGGAGCTTTTCAGACATCTGGTTCCAAAGACAAATGGGGTGTGTATTTGTACTTCTTTTCTGGGATCTGTCCTCAGGACATACAGTGATCTTTGAGATCTGATGTCTGGGGCACCGCGGGCCTGGGGGCCTTGCAGCGCCGCCATCCCCTCCCACCCGTGCGTCCACAGTTACTTGGGCATGCAGATGAGGAGGCGTTTGGAGGAACTACCTCCAGGAGCACTGAGTGCAGCATGATGTGGAGCAAGCTCAGGAACTGACTGGAGCTGAGCGAGATGAAAATGACAACAACACGTTGCACAGGACAATGGCAGCACATTCATGGAGGAAGCGGCATCATTTACAGGTGGAATCAAACAAAAGGCTCTTATATGGCCTGAGCTAGTTACACCATGGATTCTCTTCTCAGAAGATGGCCCAGAAGCTATTCAGAAAGGAATGTCTTTGGCTGACATTAGAAATCTGCAGGAATAACACAAATATTGTTCCTGTTCTTGCTACTAGCTCAAAAGGGCAGGTTATGGGCTTGTATCAGGAACCAGGCTTCTCGTCCTCGGGCGGTGAATCACAGCAGGTCTGAGGCAGGAGTGCCTCCCCACCCCAACTTCCATCTGCAAGCATCTCATCTTGGGCCATCACTGTGTTAAGCTGATTAGACTTCATGATGATAGCAAATTAAACCCAGAGTCTCTGACTTGCCCAATCAAGGCTTACTTCTTACACATTTTTTTTACTTGCAGTAACATGACATGGTAACATTAAATAAGTCTCAGGTGTGCATCATTGAGAATCAACACAAGTAGGTACTACATTAAGCTCACTGCTAAACATCTAATTCTGTCCTCCATACCATTATCTCTTGTCCCAATTTACCTTCCTACCCTCTACCCTTTTGGCAACCACCACTGACCCCATAGTCCAAAAGTTTATTTTTGTTTTATTCATCTATTTGTTTCCTCTAAGTCCATCCATGTAATGCAAATGTCAGGGTTTCATCTTTTTATAGCTGTATAGTATTCCCCTGTGTTTAGAAATCACATCTATTTATCCATTAGTCTGTTGCTGGGCCCTGTGGTTGTTTGCAATTTTTGGCTATTGTGAATAATGCTGAAATAAACATGGGGGTGCATATATCTCTTTGAATTAGTATCTTTGTATTTTTTGGGTAAATGTCTGAAAGTGGGATAACTACACTGAATGGAATTTCTATATGGAATCTCCGTACTGCTTTCCACAATGGCTGCACTAGTTTGCATTCCCACCAATTGTGCATATGGGTTCCCTTCTCTCCATATCCTTTCCAACACTTGGTTCTTGCCTTTTGGATAAAGCCATTCTCACAGGTGATTCCTCACACAAATATTTAGGCAGCTCAGCTGATTCCAGAGCAGCTGTCTTCTATGTGGCGACTCGGGGATTCAAGATGCTTCCAATATGCGTCTCCATCCACTCAAATGAAGCCATACTGGCTGCAACTATTCATTCATATGGACCTGCCTTGGAACAAAAGACTGAGAAATGTGGGGGAGCATATGGAGATTTAGGGTGCAGTAAATATCTCTACCTCAAGAAGTTCCAGGAGCCGTGCTTCTCATACTCAGGCAGCAAATTCATGGCTGGTCTGAAGTGAAAGTGCCTGCCCATGCCCCTTCCAACTGTGTGCGTCTCTTAAAGGTCCCCTAAAAGTGAGCTGGCCTTTCCCGTTGTTGGACAAATTACAGTACATCTCAGTGTGCATGGATTATTTTTGTTTTAAGGAAAGGGAGAAGCATTGTTAGTGATTAGTACTTCATTTAAGGGGGGCATTATAGGCTGGACAATGTCCATTTGCAGATTGACATATTGAAACGAACCCCCAATATCTCCTTCTGTGACTGTATTTGGAGATGGGACCCCTAAGAGTAGAGTGAGTTAGAATAAGCACCATGAAGTTGGCTCCTAACCCCGTCTCCATGGTGTCGCTCTAAGAAGAGGACATGTGAACACAGACACCAGACAGGAATGGCCATGTGAGGACCACATGGGGGGAGGTGGCCCCTCCGACTAAGGGGAGAGACTAAACCTACCGCCATCTTGCCCTTGGACTTCAGCCTCAGACTGTGAGAAAATAAATTGTTTAAGATGACCTGTCTGTGGGCCTTTGGACATAAATCCTCATAGACGAACATGGAAGGAGAGAGGGTGAATAGAAACATTTATGCATTCTACAGATCTTACACATTTTGTCCCATATGCTGAATTCCATTTATCCTTTTCTGACAACTAAATTACTCCCAGAACGTTCTCTCTTTCGTTTTATGTTTGGCATGAAATCCCACCTTTTCTAAATGTCCCCTGTGTATTAGACTCGGTGCCAGTTCTTTTCAAGTCTGTTACTTCCTTTAATCTGGATATCCACAAACTTTTTTTGTAGACAGTAAATATTTTATCCTTAGCCAGCTCCCATGCTGTCTGTTGCATACTTTGTGTTTTCAGTTCATTTATTTTTTTTTCCACAATCCTTTAAAAAACCACTACTAGCTGGTGGGCAGATCTTTACCTGGTGGGTATATGACAGCAGGTCCCAGAGTCCCGGCCAGCTGCTGCCGTCGTGCCTGCAAGGGTCTGGAAGTGCCCTGTGCCTGCTTCACTGGTGTGGTAGGTCACTTGTCCAGTTCACAGAGCCAGGACTTCTGCCCTATCCCCCACAGGTATTCATTTTGGGAACTCACCACCTGAATAAAGGAGAAGGAACACCTTTTGCCATTTCTGGGCTTGTCTGGACGCAGAAACCATTGATAATAGGACAGTCACGTGTCATGGAGCCACAGCAGCCTATTCTGAGAAATGCATTGCTGGCAATTCATTGTGTGAACGTCAGGGCGTAATTACACAAACCCAGGTGCTCAGTCCCTACACACCTAGGCTGGCGGTGTAGCCCGTCAGGAACGCCATCCTCCAGCTCACCCATCGTTGACCGAGTGTCCTTCATGACACCCGACTGTAACGAGCTGGTTAGGGTTCGTCTGGGGCAAGGGTTTACCCCAGGGGATTTCAAGGTGGAGAAGAGACCTGGGTCTTTCTCTGTCCTTCCTGTGTTGCTCTTGGTAGGTTTCTGGGGTCGGTTCCCAGTCCCAGGTGAGGCCAGCCTGGTGGGGAGCCTGCCAGTCCACGCTCAGCCTCACCCCTTTCTCGTGTGTGTCAGCGTGGCCCCGCATCCCATTCACTTGCCATTCGAGTTGTTTCTCTTTGTGAATGGCTTCTCAGTGAGCTCATGCTTGCTTGTGAACAGAGAGCTTACGCAGAATCCTAGGGAACAAATCTAAACGCAGAGCAGACAGGCAGCGGAACACAGCCTCGTGGCGTCCTCGCCGTCACTCAGGCCTGAATGACGCACTGTCCCCGCAGGCAGGACGAGCGTCCCCTCTGCTGAAAGACGAATTGTGCCATCTGAGTCAGAGCGCTCAGAAGAGCCCATTCAGAGCCCTCCGCCCACGCCATTTCAATTACAGGAGCCTTTCGCTGTCAGAGCTTGCGGGGACCTTGAGGGTCAGCCAGCCCCGGCTCAGCACCCCAGGAGTTTGGGGCAGCTTGCAAAGAGCACACTAACAAAGAGGATGCTCAGGATAAGCACGTAGCAGCTACTTGGAGCAGTTTTTATCACTCACTGCTAATTTTAAAAAAGAACAAACTTTTTTTTTTTAACTCAACACATGTCATGTATTTAAATACGAAATCAGGGTAAATCTTATGACTCCAAGCCTCATCAGCCACTCTGCTTTGGGACATTTCAGGGAATAATTGTAAGAAGCAGGGGTCAGGGTTAACCCTTTCAGATGCAGATTTGAGGACAATATGGGAAAATGATGCAGTGAAGAACTAGCAACAGTGTGATGTGTTGATACAACACCAATGCTGCCAGTGGCCACGTCTGCCTCCAGCGTCCGTTCTCATTCCACTAACCCCAATGAAGAGCCTGGAATGACAGCAGGGTCTGGGAATGCTTAGGGTGTCATGATGTCTGGGGTCTACTCACTCTTTGCAAATTTGGAGCCACAGAAAGGGTGGACATGGTGATGACTATAATAGAAAGAATAAGCTGACATGTGAGAAGTGTTTGAAGGGTATGTGTAGTTATTCTCTCTCTCTACCATCCCAAACATGACTCTCACCTTCCTCCGAGTCCTCCTAGGTATGTATTTTGTAGCACCAAGTATACTGTGTGATAATCGTTAACACATTGCTGTGTCTTTCAGAGCTCTGGGATGCTGTTTTACTCATCTTTGTGTCTATATCCACATATCTAAACACATGCATGCATAGACGGATGGATGGATGGTGGATGGATGGATGGATGGATGGAAAGCTACATGAGTGGGTCTATATATGGGTGGGTACCCATGGATGGGTGGGTGCATGGGTAGATGGCGATGGTGTGTATCGATGGGTGGGAGTGTAGGTGGATGGGAAGGTGAATGGATGCTTATATGGATGGGTGGATGTATAAGTAGATGTATGGGTGCATGCATGGGTGAGTGTATGTATGGGTGGGTGGATGGATGGATGAATGGGTGGTTGAGTGGACTGATGAATGAATAAGGCTGAGGGTAAATGTTGAAAGAGTTACATGACTTAGATTAGTGGACTAATCTAAGGGACCTAAGGAAAAGGAAAAGTACTTCCCTCGAACACAAAAAAAAAAAAAAAAAAACCCTCAACTACACTTTAAATGGACAAATGGAGGACTTGGGAAACAAAGACTCTAACTTTGGGTGCCAACATACTTAGCAGCTGAAGCCAGACACCCTCCTGCCATTGGATCCTTGGCTACCTCAGTTGTGTGCTGCAGCCATGTCCCCGACTGTCAAATGCATGGATGTCCATTTGACTGTTTTCTTGGGTGACCTTATGGAAATTTGGCAAGAAGATAAGGCAACTATGAGAGAAGCTGGACAGTTACCTACTCTGCCCCCTCCACCCACACACAGCTGTTCACTAGGCCAGGCTACTGAGGCCCAAACTCATCGTGTCCTAATCTTGACTCTGAAATACTCTGTTATCCTCATTGACATTTCTTGCCAGCCCTGGAGCCCAGCTGTGTTGCACACAGGCCATCTGAAGCCGTAAACAGATAGTGCATTTTTATAAGGGCTCATCAAGACTGCATTCACACGCTCTGCCTCACCCCAGCTGACCTCGTCACTTCCCCACTGTGATGGTCTGAATTGCACCCTCCCCAAATTCAGAGGGGAGCGCTAAACCCCCATTTTGAGAAATAAGACATGTTTGTCAAACTCCAGAGGTCAGGATGTAAATGTATTCGGAAGGGGAGGAAGGTCTTTAAAGAGCTAATTAAGTTAAAATGAGGCCACTGTTAGGGTGGATCTAATCCCACCTGACTGGTATCTTCCTGTATAAGAAATTTGGTCACACAGAGAAGAGACCACATGCAGACACGGGCTGTCCACAAGCAAGGGGTGGAGTCTCAGGATGAAACCCACCTGGCCAGCACCTTGATCTTAGACGTCCAGCCTCTGCAGGTGTGAGAAATCAATTTCTGATGTGAACAGAGGCTACTTGTCAGAGTTGCCCATAGCAAGGGAGTCAGAGCCTTTGGCAGAGACTCAAAGGCAGGCCGAGGAGTGGAAAAGCTTCATAATTCTCGCTAGTCCCACCTTCCAAAGATGGAGGGCTAGCAGGGCCCTCGGTGCCATCCCCACCTGGAGTGCCATCCCCACCTGGGGGGCAGGAAACCCACTCTTTTTCTCCTGCCACTTAGCGTGGTGCCATGGAAGATAGTCAAGTTGGGAACCATCTGCAAAATAGGAATCTGGGGTAAGAGGGTTAAATAGCTAACGAAGAACAGTCTGGTACAAAGTGAGTGTGTGGGCGGCTGTGCTTTGACATGAAGTCAAGGAGCCAGGGTCCGAAGCTGCAGACAAGTTGCCTCACTCTTTAGGGGCATATTTCTCCCTGAAATAAAACAAAAATAGAGTCAAGTTCAGGCCCCTGAGAGAGGGGACACATGTTCTAGCATTGCTGCCATTTTTCAAAAATTCTTTTGTGCTATTCTATTTTGGAAATGCCCTTGGAATTCATCATGTCCTTTTCTGTAGGGAAAAAAAAATGTACTTTTTATTTGGAAAAATTTAAGATTTACGGAAAAGTTGCAAAGAAAGTACAGAGAGTTCCCACATGCCCCTCGCCCTAGTCCCCCCTTATTAATGTCTTACGTGACCGGGGCACATCTGTTAGAAGCAAGACTGACGTTGATGCATTACTAGGATCTAAACTCCAGACTTTCTTTGGATGTCACCAGCCTTCCCCATGAATGTCCTCTTTCTGTTCCAGGATCTGATCCAGGGCACCACATGGCATTTAGTTGTCCTGCCTCCCCCAGTGTTCTCTGGTCTGTGACAATTTCTCAGTGTATTATTTTTTTTTTCTTTTGATGACATTGAGAATCATAAGGAGCGCTGGTCAGATGTCCTATAAAATGTCTCCTATTCTGGGTCTGTCTGCTGATCTTCCTAATTTCATCATGATTATAAACAGTGTCACAGAGGTGACATGCCTTCTCCTGACATCATAGCGGGGAGTCCATTCAAGAGAGACAAATGACATCACTTGGTGACATTAACCTTGATCACTTGTGAAGGGAGAATTTGCCAGGTTTCTCTATCATCAATTTCCTGTTTTGCCCGTTCTCTACTCCAGCCTTTGGAAGTCAGTGACTTAAGTCCTCTCCACCCTTAAGTGGGAAGAGCTGGAAATTGAACTCCACCTCCTAGAGGAGGGAATATTGCATACATTATTTAAAAAAATTATTAAGAAAGATGTCTCTGCTGGCCCCCGCTCCATGGGAGTGGCATAATCAGGGAGCAATGGCCGGGCCCAAAGGGGCAACCGATAAACCACCCCAGTGGTTAAATGTAGTACCTACTCCCCAGTATGTGCTGAGAGGGCACACCTACTGTGTGCACCTACTGTGTGCACTGGGCTTTTTCCACATCCCTTTGTACACCCTGCAGCTTGCGAGGCAGGTGTTGCTCTCTCTCTCTCTGGGTAAATGGAGACTGGTAAGTGGTAGCCCTGAGACTGGAACCCAGATTTGATAAGGAACCAAATTCTTTCCTCCCTTTCACGGGAG